AGGAAACTTGACCAGCTTATCTACTCTCTACCTTCATCAAAATATGTTTTCTGGTTCAATCCCTGCTTCCATAGGAAACTTGACCAGCTTATCTACTCTCGTCCTTCCTCTAAATATGTTCTCTGGTTCAATCCCTGCTTCCATAGGAAAATTGACAACCTTATCTACTCTCTACCTTGATCAAAATATGTTTTCTGGTTCAATCCCTGCTTCAATTGGAAACATGACGAAGCTTGTGGAGCTAAGTCTTCAAAATAATCATTTATCAGGGCCAATTCCTTCGTTCAGCAATCTTACTCATTTGGAATCATTCCAAATATCGGACAACCATTTCAGTGGTCCATTACCCGAGAATGTATGCCACGGTGGACAACTCGAATGGCTTGGGGCTGTGAACAACAATTTGAGCGGTCCGATCCCATCAAGTTTAAGAAACTGCAAAAGCTTACACAGAGTTAGGCTTCAGGGAAACCAGTTGACAGGAAATATATCAGAAGCTTTTGGTATATATCCTAATTTGAATTATATTGCATTAAGCAACAACAAATTTTATGGTGAACTTTCGCCAAACTGGGGGCAATGCCATAATCTAACAAGCCTACGAATCTCCAATAATAACATTTCTGGAAAGATACCACCTGAGCTGAAGCATGCAACTCAATTACACGAACTCGATGTCTCTTCAAATCATCTCATTGGTGAGATTCCCAAGGAATTGGGAGCATTGACATTGATGTACAAACTTTTGCTAAGTGGTAACCAACTTTCAGGCAAAATTCCACCAGAGATTGGAGTTCTTTCAAATCTAGAACATCTTAACTTGGCATCAAACAATTTGAGTGGACCGATTCCTAATCAACTTGGAGAGTGCTCAAAGTTATTGGACCTGAATTTGAGCAAGAATAAACTTGGAGAAAGCATTCCACTTTCAGTAAGCTACATAAATGGCCTTCAAAATCTAGATTTAAGTCAGAATTTACTTATTGGGGAGATACCACAACAGGCTTGCAAAATACATTCTTGGAACATTGGACCTTTCTCACAATCATGCCTCAATGGTTCCATCCCAAATTCCTTTTAATAATTTGCAAAGCTGACTGTTTGAATATATCTTACAATCAATTAGAAGGCCCTATTCCTAACTTAAGGGCATTTCATTGAGGCTTCATTTGATGCCCTTAAGAAACAATAAGGGGGACTATGTGGTAATGCCACTGGACATAATGCCTGTGCTGTCCCGTGCTACTAGCAACGGTCATAGAAAGAGCACCAAAAGTCATCATTTTCATTGTGCTTCCACTATTTGCGTCTTCTTCTTTTGCTCTTTATCATGGCTGGCAGTTTCCTTACTCTTTGCCAAAAGAACCAAACCAGAAAATCCGAGTCAATCGAGGCACAACTTGGAGATTTTTTCACATTGTGGGGATATAATGAAGAATACTCTATGGAAATTATTGAAGCCACTGAAGATTTCATCTCCAACAAATGCATTGGTTCAGGAGGCCTATGGAGCTGTTTATAAAGCTGCCGCTACCCATTGGTGAGGTGGTTGCTGTGAAGAAACTTCACCAATCTGAAGATAGCATGATTCCAACAACTTGAAAGCCTTTGAAAGCGAGATTCCATGCTTTATCAAAAATAAGGCATCGTAACATTGTGAAGCTGTATGGCTTTTGTTCACATCCAAAGAACTCATTTTTGGTTATGAGTTTGTAGAACGGGGAAGTTTGAGAATGGTGTTAAGCAACAAGGACGAGCAATGGAGTTGGATTGGGGAAAAGAGGCTAAATGTTGTAAAAGGAGTGGCCAATGCCTTGTCTTATATGCATCATGACCATTCACCACCGATAATTCATCGAGACATTTCCAGCAACAATGTTCTTCTGGATTTGGACTATGAGGCTCATGTCTCAGATTTCGGCACAGCTAGGCTTTTAAAGCCCGACTTCTTCCAATTGGACCTCACTTGCTGGCACTTTGGGGTACATAGCTCCAAGTATTTATTGATACTTTAACATGTCATCATTCAATTAAAACTGTTAGTTTTGTGCGTAAATTGATGTGTTGAAACAAAGTTCAAGTAGTATTATGATTGTAAATTTTCAAATTTTAAGTATCAAATTAAGAATTTTACTATAATTCAAGTATCGAATGTGTAATTAATTTTTGAAGTTTAACACTTAATTTTTCAATATTCAATATATCAAACTAATGAACTAAATGTAAAATTTTGTTAAAACCTATGAATTTTAATTTTCAAGTAATCTTTTAAACATTTACAATTTCTTTTCAATATTATTTTATAATCTTCTCAATATTCTTTATTCTTACATAATAGTGTATTGATAAGATTTATTTCTTGCTTAATAGAGCACATTTATTAGATATATTTTTCTAAGCAGAGTTAGCTTATACAATGAAAGTAGACGAGAGATGTGATGTTTACAGTTTTGGGGTGCTAACAATGGAAATATTTATGGGGAGGTATCCTGATGATTTGACTTCATGTCTACCATTGTCGTCATCGGCATCGGCATCGACATTGGTAGCAAATGACAACCATCAAATTTTACTTAAAGATGTGATAGACCAACGCCTTTCACCACCGATAAGGCAAGTTGCAAAGGATGTTGTCTCTACTACAAAGCTAGCATTTGCATGCTTGAATGGCAATCCCCAACTTAGGCCAACCATGCGACAAGTTGCTCAAGCGCTTACACATCAATCGCTTCCATTGCCCAATCCTTTCTCAATTATAAAATTGGGAGAATTGTGGGATTATAAAGTTTGCAGTGGCTAATATTAAGGTGCTAACAATTTAAATAATAATTCTAAGCACGTGTATTTGCTTTCAATCTATTTCTTTTTCTCTTCTCTGTATTGAAATGTTTAAGTACTCTAGTAATAAAGCTTTTGTAATGAATCGGCTGTAATATAGAACAACAGTGTTTAAGCCTGTGATATAGAACAGCTGTGTTTAAGCACTCAATTTGTTATGTTCAAGATTTCCTATTTTTTAAATGCAACTAATGGCCAGATTTAGAATTTTGACTTTTAGTATCAATTGTAATATTCTACTGCAGTATCGATTAGCTATAGTACTTTCGCTTTGGAATGCTATAACAATTCTAATATCACATTTTTATTTGTTTGAACAAACAAAGAATAAAATTGTGAGCATACCAAATTACAATAAACTTAACTTCACACAATAACCTTTTGATTTTATTATTTACTTGCCAATTATTCTTATAAATACTCATACATGTTATTTCTCACAATTTCATCTTTCTAACATTTCATCATTCACTACCTTTTAAATCATTCAAAATTTAATTGTAATTGTATTGAGTACACTTGAAACGGATTTGAGTGATGATTTTGAAGAATATACCACTAACTTGTACTTTTTTTAACTAAAATGCTAAAAATGTTGTATTTTTCTCAAATTTCTTAGATAAACTTTTATGTTTTTTTTTTTTTATCCAATTGAAGGCATAAAACATTATTCTTATTTAATTAAGTCTTATTTTACATGAAAACCACTAAAATTCATTATTTTTACCATATCAACGGTAATAATTATCTTTCTTAAATCAATTTTCACATTGTAAAATATAAAAATTTAAGTTGAACTATCATTTACATAATATATAACAAATGGCTCATATAATAGGCCACATTAATGTCTAAAGAGTTTTTTTATTTTCAATATATGCTATGTAGATGTTGGCATCATAAAAAAAAATACGACATATATGTTGATTTGGCAAGAAATAATATTATTTTTTACAATTTTCATCTAACAAAAAGAGCTTAATGAAACAAAATTATACTCAAATTGAATTAGACAAAAATAAATTTTTTAAGGACTTAATTAGATATAATAGAAGGATGGAGGCTTATATGAAAAATTCATGTGATTGATGAGCCATTGATGACGTTGAATTTCAAGCCTGCTAGTTAGTCTTCTATTCAAAATTTGAAGAAAATAAAATTTGGTGATACGATAAGATAGTCTTTTGCGCATGAAGAAAAGGAGAAGACTTGAGGATTTGAGTTCCCAGAAACCATGTACCATTTGTTTGGAGGAGTTTCTTGGTTGGAGATGAAGTTGCCTCGATGTCTTGCAGGCATGTTTTCCATGATGATTGCATTGTTAGGGGGATTTTCAAAAATTTTGCAAACTTTTTTATAGTGTTTAAAATGAGGAGATAATACAATAAACAATCTTGCTTTGATATAATTGTATAAAATCTTATGGCAATTGATGGATGAATACATTTTAATCAAATTTCTCGAAGTGTTACCAATTTTCTTTACATTAATTAGTCATTAATTAGTCATTCATCAGAATGGACATTTTTTGAAATATTGAATTTAGTTGTACAAATAATTTTTCGAAAAGATTTATAGATATGGTGGTGGCAATTTTGTGTGTCATTTTACTTCATATTGAATTATTAGAGTAAAAGAAATTTTGGATGGTTATGGGTACAGATCATTTGGATGATACTCAGATTATTTGAAATTAAGACTATATCTAGATAGATTGAAGGTTATATATTATTATAATTATTATTATTGTAAGATGAAAATATTAATGTTCTTTAAAAAACTTATTAAAATTTTATTTATTGATTGCTATCCAAATGGAATTAACTAAATATAGAAAGAAGTTGATTGAGAAACAAAGTATGATCTTAGTAGCAGAAGTACCAAAACATGAGAAATAAAATGGATTCTATAGATAATTAACTAAAGCATAGCAATTACTTCCATTAATTCTTCTCTATAACAAATGTAGAAATGTGAAACCAATTTGATTTTGATTCTAAATTGTAGACACCGGTTTTGTCCAGGATTTCTAATAATAATAATAATAATAATATATTTTTTAAAAAATAATTAAAAAAAGGAAAAAATAGAAAACAAAAAATAGAAAGCAGAGGGTTGGTACGACGCCGCTGTTGCCCAACCCCTGACCAGCCCCCTCTATAACTTACCCAGCCCACAGCCCACCTACAGCCTACCCCTACAGCCACCCTACAACCACCACATGTTCCCCTTTTGAAACTCCTTAAAAACCCCCCAACTTCTTCCCCTCAAAATCTCCTTTTGGACACCCAAACACACAAAAAAAACCCCCTCAACCCTCACCAAACCCATACTCAAACAAAAAAATAGAAACAAAAAAAGGACATACAAGTCCTCCCCATAAAGAGGAACCACTAGCGCCTAGAGCTTTCTTACGACAACAAAAAAGAGTAGTCAGTGCGGGTTTTCAAAAAAAAAAAATAGAAAAATAGAAAACTCAAAAGATTTTGAGCCCTGATCTATAACGATTGGGGCTGTTTCTAGTGAAAAGAAAGCCAGAGCTGAAAAGAAGACGTTGAATAGAGCTTTCAGAAGAATTTTGACGTTTTTCGACAATCGAAAACCACCGGTAGTGACCGTCGATGGCAACTTAGATGGCGGCTGGCACGGTGGTCTGGCGACGAATCTTGGCCGAAGCTAAAGAGAATTTTTGGAGCTCTGGACCTTTTTTCTTTAAATTGGTTTGAAATGAGCTAAATTTTTTTTTTTGATTTTATATAGAAGGCTACGGCCTAAAACGACATCGTTTCGACCAAGGAGGATCCGTTCGTTGATCCGGATCTGACTCGGGATCCGTGCAACCCAACCCGTTGACCTGTTTTTCCAATAGCTGCTGACCAGTCCAATTAAACCGGTTTAAACTGAATTGCTCTTCAGTTGATTCAACCGAACCACATGTCAAACCGAATCCTTTTCTGTCCAACTGAACCACCATTAACCAGTCTGGTTCAGGTAAAAAAAATTTTTTTTTTGAATTTTTGAATTTTTTTTATTATTTTTGTTATTTTGAGTATTTTCTTTATATTTATGCATGATAATTTTTTGAATTTGTTAGGATAAATATTTAATGTTTTAATAATAAAAAAATGAAAACAAGTAAAATAATAATTAAAAAATATATATTAAAAATGCTTAAAAAAGAATAATAATAATAATTTTGATTATTTTCCCTACTTAGATGTTGAAGGGAATAAAACATATTCTTAAAAATAATTCCATCTATATGTTGGGGAATTATTATTAATAAATTTTAATAAAAAAGAAATATATAAGAAAATTTTGATTAATTTTCAAAAATCACTAAAATCGAACTTGCTCCGAAAATTTGCCTAGATGTTAGAGATTTTTAAAGATGTTCACATTTTCTTAAAAACGAAACCTTAAACACTAATTCTTAAATTTCAAAACCTTAGGATTCTAAAACCCCTAAAATCCAAAATCCCTTAAATCCAAACTCCCTAAAATCTGAAACCCTAAATCCCAACCTTTAAATCCAAACCCCAAAATTCAAAACTCCTAAAAACTAAACCCTTAAATCAAAACCCTAAACCTCAATTTTTAAAACCAAAACTCTAAAATCTCCAGACTCTAAAATCAAAACCCTAAACTTTTCATATCCTAAAATTCAAGCCTTAAGACCCTTTAAACCTTAAAACCAAACCCTAAA